GTAAGCCCTGAAAAAAAACCACAAACATTTACAGTGCTTATTTGTTGTTAAGGGGATTTGAAATGGTGTTAAAAAACATCCTTCTACTGTTAAGGACTTCTAGCTCTTTTACTTGATATTGAAGAACCTTTATCCAATAATGGACTAACCTTGAATTTTTTCTCTTTACAGAGTAACAGATAAGGAGTATCATCCTTACTTCATAAATTGGCAAAAGTGAGGAGTTGTGGCTTTTTCTAGCTTAGCCTCCAGATTCTGTGTCCCAGAATTCTGATGCTGGAGGTACAGAGTTTAACAAGATATTTTTTGTATACATTTCATTCCCTCCTCACTTCTGTGCAACAGCTCATAGCCAGTATGCTTTGCCAAACTTTCCTCCAAGCTTAAGAGCTCACTTTGTATTACAAATTTACTTCCAGTTCTGTTTTAATACATCTCCTTCACTACATCCTCACAGCAATTATTCCCATAGCATAGTGTTTTTAAAGAGGTTTCTATTAGCTGTTGACAATTGGCACAGTTTCAAACTTACTCAGCTAATGCATGAGGTTTACCTTCTAAAAGAGTCCATAAAGCACTACAAATTCCCTATAACTCCACCACATGGGACATACTAGAAAACTCACCTCCAGCCCTGAGGAAAGAAACATGACACTAATGCATTCCAGATGTTCTGAGACAGCAGAAGATCAAAAGATGATTGTTCATCTCAGCTACATTAGACTAACAGGCCTTCTCCTGCTCTGCCTGGGAATAGGTTTGGCCCTAGTCAATGCAATGGGACCAGCTCTAACTGTGGGTTCACACCACAGTATCCACAGGGTCTCAGAGATGAGAAATACTAGAACAGTCGCATACAGGCCAGAAATGTTTTGTGACAGTAAGTTCCTCACAAAGGCACCATAAGGAAAGGTAGGCTTTTGTGCAAAAGCTTTGGATATACATAGCAGAATTTCCCCTTGCATTACACATATTCTCCCCTCAGCCTTTTGCTTAGATTTTCACTTCAATTATTCCAGTATCAGTGTCAAACTAACCCACACATGGCATTTCTGTGCTTTGAATGGAGGGAAAATACCTGATACTTACTGGCAGTCCCTGAAGCCCTGTGTCACCTGGAGCTCCAGGTTTTCCTGGTTCACCCTGTAAAACATTTAAAGGTGTAATCAAATATGAAGGAAAATCTGATTTCTGGAAGACAGATTTGGAATACTTTGGATCTGCAGTATGGGAAAGTTCATTCATTTATGCCAATAATGTGCACAAAGCCATGGCCAGCAGCCACAAATGAGTGAACAAATCTAGGGCACTACCAAAGCTCAGACATAAGCCAAATGTGCCTTACTTTTGCTCCAGGCATTCCAGGGATCCCTTCCCGGCCATCAACTCCTGGTAAGCCCTTGAAAGAAGAAAAAAAAAAAAGTTATTGTATTTCTGGGGTGATTTTGCTCAAGCACCAATATACAAATCAACATCACGTGAAGAAAATGAAGAAATGAAATATACATACAGGTTCTCCTTTAGGCCCAGGGAGACCATTTATTCCTCTTACACCTTGAGGGCCCTAAAAATAATAACAATTTTAAAAAATGAGACTAAGCACATTGAAATCACAGATGAAAACAATGTCAATAGGTTCTCATTCAGATATGCATTACTTTGAGAGTACCAATTATGTTCTATAGTCATATGCTATGTTTGCAAGTCAACATGTGTCAAACTTTGTCTGTGCTTACCCTTTCTCCTTTTGGACCTGCCTCTCCTAGTGGACCTCTCTGTCCTTGATCGCCCTACAAAAATAAAATTCATTTCAGCAATAAAAACAGAATAAATTTGCTTCTATTTATTAGTTAAAACCTTCAGAGGAGTACAATCACAGAATCATAGAATCATCAAGATGGGGGAGACCTCTAAGATCATCAAGTCCAACCATTAACCTGCCACTCTGCTATAAACCCTAAAACATATTCTCCAGTGTCAGATCCAGGTGCCTCTTAAACACTTCCAGGGATGATGACTCCACCATCTCCCTGGGCAGCCTATTCCAGTGCCTGAACACCCTAACAGGGAAAACATTTTTCCTAACATCTAATCTGAATCTCCTCTGTCTCAGCTTATGCCCATTCCCTCTAGTCCTCTCCCTGCAGCCATGGCAGGAGAGACATCCCCCACCTCTCTACCCCTGTCAGGGAGTTGTAGAGAGCCATGAGGTCATCCCTGAGCCTATTCTCAAGGCTAAAACAAACCAAACTCCCTCAACCCTTCCTCGTAGGACATGTTCTAGACCTTTTCTGAGTCTCATTGCCCTTTCCTGCTGGACTCGCACCAGTGCCTCAATGTCGTTTTAAAACTGAGGGGCCCAAAACTGAACACAATACTGTAGGTGTGACCTCACCAATGCTGAGTACAGGGAAATGATCAGTTCCCTAGTCCTGCTGGCCACACTATTCTTGATACAGGCCAAGATGCCATTGGCCTTGTTGGTCACCTGTGCACAGTGTTAGTTCATGTTTAGTCACTATCCACCAGCACTCGCAACACACTTTCTGACAAACAACCCTTGAGCCACTCCTCCCCCAGCCTGTAGAGCTGCATGGGGTTGTTGTGTCCCAAGTGCAGGACCTGGAACTTCATTTTGTTGAACCTCATGTAGTTATCCTCAGCCCACTGATCAAGTCAGTCCATGTCTCTCCGTAGAGCTTTCCTGCTGTTAGGCAGATCAACACTCCCACCCAACTTAGTGTTGTCTGCAAATTTACTGAGGGTGCACACAATTCACACTTGATTAGAGCAGACATCCTAAATTCATACTGTATTTAAAAATGCAGTTTTTAAAAACCGCAGCTGATAGCTACATTTTAAAAAGCACAAGTCAAGCCATCCCTTGGGATTCCAGGGGTGTCTAAGCAAAGGATGTTGCACTTGCTTCTCTAACATATAGAGTTACTGGCTATTCCAAGCACAAATTCCAGCTATGGAAGCAGACAAGAATTTATTTTAAAAACCAACCAAAAAAACCAAAACAAAACAAAAAACCAAACCCACAAACCCAAACAAAACACACACAAAAAAAAATCTCCAACAAAAAACAACCAAAGAGTACAAATTGTCCTGTACATGCTTTGTTCCAGTTTGATATCTGGCAAATTCCAATCCACCCTACTGCACAGTAGCACTCAGAAGTAAGAGGTAACCATAACATCCTAATAATTTAAAATTAGTTCATCTACCTCTCAATTCATTGGGGACATTAAGAGATTATAGACTTGATATCACTGTGATGTCATTTATTTACCTGTGGGGAATCAATAGAGTTGGATAAATCAGAGGCTTTTTTTGACTCACATCCACAAAGTTTCAGGACTTAGTATTTAACTGGAAAGTGTTTGGTTAACATATACTCTACTTACAGGTGCACCAGGAAGACCTTGAGGACCAGGATCACCATCAAGCCCACGAGCTCCCTGCAAAACAAGTAGATAACACAAGACCTTAAAACAAAGTGCTGAAACACTAACAACTTATTTGCTCTCCTCACTTGCTGAGAGCTGCAAACTCTCTACAGCTGAGGTTTCTTTATGGCTCTAATTAAAAAAAAAATAAAAAATAAATAAATAAATAAATAATTTGGAAAGTGTTTTCTTAATCATAATATGTAGTTATGAAAACCCACATTTTTTAACTATGGAAAAGTATCAATCAAAAACTGATATACTATTCATTCTCTAAAATATCATATTGGACAAAGAGAAGATAGACCTCTGCATGCTACTTCAGAAAACGTCAGTGTCTTCCTTAAAAATACATATATTATAATACTATTTCCTTCAGCACATAAGAGAAGAGCATCAAAACGTGAAGAGAAATCATCAGATGCAGTGCAGGTATTTTTATCATACATGTTTCAAGGAAACAATTAAATTGCTACCCTGTAAGTTAATTTAAATGACAAGGAAAAAATCTTTTTCATAGAGATTTAGAGAGAATATGGAACTCCTTTGTCAAACAGACGTAGTGAATATTTCAGAGACAAAACAGTGTAAAAATGTAGTCAAATATCTACAAAAAATTAGAAGATACAAAGGCCAGAAAAGCAAAGTAAGACAGTAATAGTTTAGCAAATGTGTCCAAAAGATTAGGAAGGATCACTCCTGAGAGGATTCATAATCAGAAGAAATTTGATGTTATCTCTGAACAGAGATGATCACAAGGTTTCTGTGATTTCAGTTCTGGAAAAGGAGATAATGGTATGACTGCTACATTCTACTACTTCTAGAAATTTTTAGCATATAGATTTAACAAGATCACAGTAGCAGTAAGTTTTGAAATAACAGCTAGAAACTCTGATGAACAGAAGGAAAATTACCCAAAAATGTCAGAGCCCACATAAACATTAATTCCACTGGCAGCAATTTAAGACACAGAGATATTGGAGACAGAAAGAATGGAAAAAGAACAAAGTCTGAATAAAAAAATACTGACTAAAACCATGACAGTGGAAGCAAAAGGCTTTAGGAAGATGCAAATCACAGGAGGAACTACTTAAAAAATTGAGCTTAAATGAAACATGGTATAGTTTATAACTGCTATAACTTGCTATCTTGCTAGCTACATACTTGCACACATGCAAAACTACTGTAAGGGTCCGAGGGAAAGGTGTGAAGAGTACATGTCCTTCATTAACCAGAAGGACCAAACTGACTTTCTTCCTAACAAGAACTACAGTAGCTATGGAAATACAGCTGACAGGAGAGAGAAAATGCAGGGAAAATACAGAAGCTTAAATAAGCTTTAAAAATTTTCATGGGTGCACATATTTTTTAATATAGGCCATTTTATAGAAAGAAAGGGTAATACTCACTTTGGTACCTTTAGGTCCCATTATACCAGTTATACCTCTGATACCTAGAATGCCCTGAAAAGGAAAAAATATATTCAAATTATGCTTAAATCATCAGAAGTGCCCTAGTTTTCAGATAGAAGACAGGAATTCTACACACTTTTGTTATGCTTATTTTACTACTTTCTTAGTACAAAATGAGAAATCCAGCTACTGCTGTATTAGAAAATTTAAATTTGATATTTGACTAAGACTTTTAAAAAGAATGTCAAAACTATTAGGTTGAATTGTAGAACTACAAATATGCCTTAAGGACTGAGAGAAACCCACTGATTTCTCTTCTTGATTACCACAGAATTGAAGCATTGTCCCCATGTATGAAAGGAACATATGAAGGTCAGATTTGGAAAAGGGCTAATTTGTCCTACGTGGGGTATAGGACAGATGCAGGAGAAAGGTACCATCAGACTTTATTGAAGTCCAGGGACAGACAAAGTACAGCAAGGTTTTTCAGAGTGTAAGTGCTAAGTTTATATATCCACCACACCTGAGAGGCTGAAATGAGCAGATATCCTAGTGCAACAGGATGTATCATAACTATCATCACCTCCCTTCAAAATACAGTCTCATGGGAAATATGGCTTCAATTTCTTCCTCTTCCTGAGAGACTGAAACTACTTGAGATGTCTCCTCCTTGCAGAGACCAAACCCTCACCCATAACATATTTGTTTTGCAACAAGGACAAGAGGGCACAGACTCAAGCTCTGACAGGGGAGATTTAGGTTAGATATTAGGAAGACATTTTTTACAGAGAGAGTGCTCAGGCATTGGAATGGGGTGCCCAGTGAGGTGTTGGATTCACTGTCTCTGGAGGTTTTTTAGATGAGATTAGATGCGTCACTTGGCGCCATATTCTAGTAACGACTGTAGGGTTGGACTTGATGATCCTGGAGGTCTTTTTCCATCCTGGTTGATTCTATGATTCTAAGGATGTACTACAACTGTGTTAATGAAACAGCTACAGGCACTTCACAGCATAGGCAAACCTATTCGTTGACCAGATTCTACATTGGCAGCCTTTACTTACTTGCTCCTAGCAAAGTTAGATGGAATCTCGAACAGAACATTTAAAGCTTTGTCAGCCCAAAACATGAGAAACGTCATGATAATGCAACAACTGCAACATCCCAACAAGATCAGAGATGGAAGTAGACACACTGTGGTATCCATTGCTTTCTATCAAAAGCAACACCTCTCCCAGAGGTGGAAATCTTATGCAAATCTTCTTGTCAATGCAATCCATAGAAGTGTTGGATTGCAGGTGCTACTGTGGAGACTGGACACCTAATCCCTTCCATTTGTTTATGTAAGGAATGTATGAGAAAATACAAGAGTCTACAACCTCTCCATCTGTTCCTCTAAAGCATTATCACAGAATCATGGAGTCGGTCAGGATAGAAGGGACCACAGTGGGTCATCTGGTCCAACCCCATCCTAGAGCACACGGCACAGGATTGTGTCCAGATGGATGCTGAATATCTCCAGTGAGGGAGAATCCACGACCTCTCTAGGCAACCTGTTCCAGTGTACAGTCACTCTCTTCTCTCTGTCCTCTTTTCCATAGCTTGTCTATCTGACACCACTTTCTGCATATTATGAATCTTTAAATCAAATGTTTAAATGTTTCATTTTAATAAAAAAACAATTATTTTAAAGTTTGTTTGTAAGGTCACCAACTGGTGTGACAATGAAATGTTGAGAGCAATGCTTTTAATAAACCAAAAGGAAGTCAATCTTTGTTTTTTTAATTCTACTGTGTTATTTCACAGTGACTGAAGCACTATTCCCAACTGAGTTAAATGAATTGGTCCCCACAGGCCTTTCAGGCATCAGAAGCTGCATCTTCCACAAGTGCTTTCTCTGCACCAGGGCTCCAGGGATAATTTTTTCAGGATCAACTATAAGAAGGAATGCACCCCTTCCTTTACATGGTCTCTGTTCTTTCTTTATGTTTATCCAGTCATAATCCAGAGGTTTATGTTGTCTTATGTTCATAGGGAATTTTGCAATTTAGGATTTGGATGTCATGTGCATCACGGTAAGCTCCAGTACAATATCACATCTGGAAACTAATGGCATTAAAGAAATAATTTTGCACCAAAGATAAAAGCATAAAACTCCATCAGAAACTAAACCATAAAAATTAAAGGTGTTTGGCCTGTTTCTCTTACTTAGAATGATCCCTTGATTCTGTTCCATTTCAGCTGTGGCAACCTTAAGAAGAGCTCCTCACAAGGAAAGAGCTGAGGAGATCTGTGCCAGAAGTACAGAGAGGCAGGACAAGAAAATAACCCCAAAACCATAGGTATGATGGAAGGATACTTCTTCTGTATGCCAAAATGAAAAAAACTTCAGAAAAAAGTACTAGTCTCTTCTTCAGTTGCTGCTACTTGTTTCTCAAGTCTCAGCTAAACCTGAATTTCACAGCTGACTGTGTTTCAAACAACCACTACCTTCGCAAGGATGAAATCAGAGTCATCAAAATTATGGAAAGGAAGGCCAAGAAAAAAAAATCCAACTATTTGCACAACCTTAGCACAACACAAAACTTAGGACATGAAATATTTTTTTAAATTAGCCTTTCCATATAACTCTATGCCAAGAGATAATGTAGCTTTTTAGAGGGACTTAAATAATTCTACTTTCATTCTTAGGCAATATGGCAGAATAAAGAGAAAGGTGTATGGAGATTTTATATCTGTTTTCCTAGAATCATCAAGGTGGGAAGAGACCTTCGGGATCATCAAGTCCAACAATAATATATTCTTAGGCAATATGGCAGAATAAAGGTGTATGGAGATTTTATATCTGTTTTCCTAGAATCATCAAGGTGGGAAGAGACCTTCGGGATCATCAAGTCCAACAATAATAACGAAGCAAATGGGATCAACAAGTCCAACAATAATAACGAAGCAAATAACAATAATGAGGCAAATGGGTAACTCTAAGAGGAAATACTTTACTGGAGGGCCTTGAGCTCCCACTTCACCACTGGGTCCTTGGTCCCCTTCTTCACCCTGAGAAAGCAAAAGGAATACATCTGTAGCTAATCCATACCATGCATATTGCTCTCTCATAGGAGGTGCATTTACTATTTACTGCTTTCTGTCACCACATCCTGTTGCAAAGAAATCCAAATGAAGTCATACTACTTCCTCAGAGAGATGCTTATTCAGGTTCACATTCCATTTAACTATTTGTCAAAATGGCAATTTCAAAGTAACCTCAGGATAAAGAATAATGATATTTTACTCTTAAGCCGTCCTTCCATTTTTACATGACATGTAAAACTCTTTAGGTTTTCTTGTTCTTTTAGACTAAAATTGCAATGAAGGTATATTCATACGTGTGAATGGACTGAATATGCTGTTAGCTCTGCATCACAATACCACATTGCAATTCAGAAATCTTTGGAAATTCAGATGGTAAAATGTCTTACCTGGTCAAACCACCATTTGATTAGATGGTAACCTCTCTCACACAGTGATAGTGCACACTAATGGAACAACAGTACTTAATGACAGTTTTCTTTGCAAAAAAGAATAAGACAACTGCTCAACATCCAGTGGGGAAAAAAAAAAGGCAAGTTGTGTCTAATAAAGTAATGTTCTTTTTAATAGGCTTAGGAATAGTGTGCAAGGTTTTTAAAAAAACTTCTCTGATGTTTTTTCCTCAAGCATTGATGCACAGACCAAGGCAGTGTAAATCTTCTGAAGATTTCTTACAAATATTTCGATATTACCAAGGTTACATGACAAGGTTAATTCAAAGGAAACACCTTAAGAGAGTTCACATTTCAGCTTTCAAGCTTAATTGGACTTGGCCTCTTATGTTGCTTATGAACTTATATTGTGTCCTTTCCCTCTCAAATATATTTTTCCCTCTCATTCTTCATGTAACTACTTAGCTGTACCACAGAACAACTAACTTGGTAAATCCACAGAATTCTTCTGCATTTAAATGCTTGAAAGCTGTTCAATTAATACCTTTAACTTCAATTTTTGCCATGAGTTCCATAAAAATTAAATTGAATGATCAAAATAAAAAAGCAAGATGACTTCTGCATCATAATAAATACAGAGTACAGCTGAATAAAGAATAGACATATGCCTCCAGTTACTCTGGAGAATTATGATATGTACTATCATTTCATGCATTCTGTTAGAACAACTAACAGTTCTAACAAAATGCAATAGCTTTGAAGAAGAGGCTAAACTACTATTATCATGCTTAAAACAACAGCAGTTTCTCCTCTTAGTTTTTACCTTATAACCTTGTCTTCCTGGTTCACCAGACTCTCCTTTTGAACCTTTTTGCCCCTAAAACAAATAAATAGATAGATAAATGAATAAGTAGATGTTATTCCAAACTAAAATACAGCTTTGCAAAACATACACAGGCTGCTGAAAACTATCTTGCTGTTCCCTTTCAACCCCCATTCACCACTGCTTCCTCACCTGTCTGAGAAACACCACACCTTAAGTACTATGCTCAAAAACACATATTTCTGTATCTAGCAAGGCTGCATATCTAGGCAGGCTAGGATTTCTTTTTACATTACCCTACAAAATTTTCCTCATGCCAGCAATATACCCAGAAACTATAATAAAAATTTTGAAAATTCTTAGCTAAAATGAAACTCAAATCATGTTCATTTCAATTTAGTGTGTTATAGATCTCCCAGGAAGAGAGAAAGAAGCAAAAAGACTAAGTATTTGGGGGAATATTTAGAGATTCTGGAGTTAAACTACAAACGGCCCTGAACATGAATGAAGCAATTCTTCACACACTCTAATCCTTTCAGGACCACACATAAATTTTACCCTGAAGATTAAAGCAGCAGCAAGAGATTTCAACAGTGAGAGGTTATTTGGGCAGTCAAGAGTTGAATAACCCTAAGCAACCACACTGATGCAATGTTTTTTGAAATTAACAGTGAAATGCCCTTTGGCTAAGTCATTACCCTCCCTAGTGCCTTGAGACAGCGTCTCTGAAAGGAATGCTTGAACAAACAAGTTCTCTTACCTTCATTCCCATTAAACCAGCATGTCCTGGGCGGCCAGGTGGGCAAGCATTGGGACACTGGAAAAGCATTCCTGGAGTTACTACCACATAGGTTGAATAAGGCTGTATGAGATTACTTTCAAAGAAACATGGAAAACAATCTTACCAACAGGTCACCATCTTGCAGGCCAATTGTTCCCTAAATTAAATGAAAATTAATCAAAGTCAATAAAAGGGAATTAATCAGACCTGACTCATTAGGCTATGCAGTCATTAGACAAAACAGAAAATATTAATATCTAAAGCCAGAATCAGAAGTGTAATCAATCAAAGGATCTCTGACATGAAAACTCCTAAACTGTAGGATTTTATTATTGGATTGAGGTACCTGCGAAGTCCTGTCCTCTAACTCAGATCAACTCTTCAAAAAAAAAAAAAAAAACCCAAAATATTTATTTTGGTTTAACTACTTCAAATATGTTTTCTATTAAATATAGAGCAAATATATCCAAACCCTGTGAATTTCCAACAGAACCCAAGACAATTCCTATAATAAGGATAACTTACATTCAGCAAAAGATTCAGATCTTTGCAAAGAAATTAATCTTCCCACAAAACAAGCATTGGTAGATGACAGTTGCAATAAACTAGGCATGTACGACTAGATGGACTCAGTGGGGGGAAGGCCATCCCTCATATTAAATCAAATACTTGATGGAAGCTACCAGGAGCCTTATGAGGCACAACAGGGAGAGGTATTATTTCACAGCAGCAGCTGGATTCTCTAAAGTTCACTGGGAGGGAGAACACTTTCAGAGAGAAGCACAGGGGAGTTCAAGGAATGAGCTGGTCTTTTATACAGAAGGACTGAAAAGCTGAAAGTATTTTGGTCCATATCATCATCAACTGGAGTGAGACTTGGGAAACCTTGAAAGGACAAAACTGTCCTTTAATTCTAAAAACTGTCCTTTTTTTTTTTTAGAGTAGAAAGAACAGGAATAGAAGCAGCATATACCATTATTGAGAAATCATTTCTGCTTGTTTCCCAATTACTCTTCTCCACTTCAGCATTCCTGTTTAACACAATGCCTCTGCCAGTTCTCTGGCAACTTTCATGAAAATGAGAAGCATGGCATAAATAAAGCATATGGATATAGGGTCTGCCCAGCAGAGGAACAGCACAGCTTTAAAAAAAGATGTTAGTGTGACACATTTCCCAGGGGTTTGCATTTCACAGCACCCAGACTGCAATGTGTCTGCCAAACTCTGTTTTATCTCTCTGAGCAGGTAAACTACCACAAGACAAAGGCATAACACATCCCCCCTCCCAACAGATACAAAGAAGATAGCCTAGATTTCCCTAAAGAGGAAAACACTGCTGGAAATCTTTCTTCTGTTTCTTGCCAGTAGCAGACCAGACTACAAGAAAGGCTGGAACTCAACCCACCTAGAAGAGAGGAAAACACTGCTGGAAAGCTTTCTTCTGTTTCTTGCCAGTTGCAGACCAGACTACAGGAAAGGCTGGAACTCAACCCACCTAGAAACACATATTTCTATCTCATGAGCCAAATATTAAATTTCTCTTCTCCTAACAAAAAAGTCTACCTCTGCTGAAGTAATACCAGTGAGGCCCAACAAAGACTACATTTACAGTAATATTATGGTTCACAGGGAAGTTTAAAACATGTGTATTTACACTTCACAGGAATGCAAAGGCATCAATGACAGCAGTTACACATTTCAAAATATCTTTTACAAGCATAAAGAAGAGAAACTTGCTTTCTAAATGGAAGATCAAAAGCCTGCTGAAATCCTAAAGTCAGTATTCAGCAGTAGGACTTGACGAGAAGTTTTGTTTAAGCAGCAACAACACAGAATTCAGATGTTAGTGCATATTAAAGGTAATGACTTACAGGAGGACCTGGTGGTCCTGGTGGCCCTGGTGGGCCTCTTTTTCCTGGATCTCCCTAAAAAAGGGTACAATAATTTTGTTGATTCAGAGTAATAATGAAAACCATCAGTTACATATTCAGAGCACACAACAACGTAGAGAAGTGGCTACAGAAGGACAGGCCAGATAGCCAATGAAAACACCAACCCACAGCAGGGCTCCCATAATAGAATGGGAATCCAATTTTTTAAGTAGGAATAGAAGCCACAACGAAATCAATAATTTCAGCTGCTTTAGCAAGCTGAAACCTCTGATCACAGAACCATCTATGCACTCCTCTATCTTATAACTGCTAAGTTCTGAATTAAAAGAATCCTAGTAACTGGCAAAAAAATGCCCAAAGTAGAGAGAGGGAAAAATCCACTTTTTCATAACACAAAATGAATTTACCAAGTAGAGTCTTCCTCTGTTTATGAAGTTCTGATGTCCAGTACTCTCAGAAGACAACATGGGATCTCTCAAATTATTTTTTCCTGAATGTTTTCAATTAAAATAAGTCTAATACTCAGGCAGTGACCACTTTTTAAGTTAATACTGTCATTCCAATATTATTTTTGGTATCTTACTAAATCATTAGTGCAATGAGCAAGATGAATACAGAAAGGTATGAAGTCAAAATATGACAGTGTGGTGAAACAGTGCACAGTTTGGCAGTAAGGTCAGTAGACAGAGTCACACTTCAAATGAGACTAAGAGGAAATACTGAGTTGTCATGTTCATGGAAATCAGAAATTGTATCTGGTTATAGAATCATAGAATCAACCAGTTTGG